GAGAATTGAAAGGTTAGAACCAGCATCTGAAATGGATCTGTGAAATGAATAGGTAACCAGATGGCACAGTGCCAAGTCCTACTTAAAAGGACATCTCCTGTGGTTGGTTGCCGAGTTGAGCCAATGGTCGATACTTGTCACTCCCTCGAACAGCAAACTCAATTGGCATGTGCCGACAGGATCACGGCCAAAGCAAGTCTGCTGTGAAACAATATGGAGGCATGCTGAAGACAGCCCCAAGGTTTACGGGAACAACAACAGCAGCAACAGAAGAAAAATAATAAGTATATGTATATAGCCCAATGAGGTAGTGTAGGCCACAGAAACTTGTGTATGTGTGTGCGCATAGAATAGATTCAGAGGAAGTGTTAGAATGCATTTACATGTCTTTGTAATCTATGTTGCTATGTTTTTATAGTAGAGCTGGCTGGCTTTGTTTGTCCAAGAGAACTGGAATATCAGGAATTGCTGGGCTTGCCAATCAGATAGCGACATGAATTGCACCTGCCCTGTGTGCCTTTCGATTCTGGGCTTCCTTGGGGTTATTTTCCTCAGTGTTTTAACATATCGGCTTTTCTAGTCAGGGTGATGATCTGGACTTCTGGGGTATTTGGCAGAAAATTAAGCATCTTGAGACTCTGAGGTGGTTCTTGATTGTACAGCACATTTCTGGCCCCTGCATGTGTTCAGTCCACTGAATGAAATATATTTACAGAGCTTGCACTTGGGAGATTTTGGAGCAGGAGTTCAGGGCCCACACAAAGGGTAGATACAACTGGGCATCAGCTGCAGGCCCCCTGGGAAAGGCCACTGGAGTAGCTCCTCCTCTTCCCCATTGCAGCTTGCCTGCTTTGTCTCTCTGGCCAAGGCAGTGATGGTGATGGTGAGGAGGAGGAGTGGATGGAAATGCCTTCCTGTTCTTTTCCTGTCAAGTAAGTAAGACGTGGTAGTGATGAAGCAGAGGAGAGAGAACAAGAGCAGCTGGTGACCATGGTAATGGGATTGTAGATTCAGTGAGGGTGGTGACCCATTGATGGTGCCTTGCCCAAAGGTATGCAAACACCCTGAAGCTGGTATTGCAAGAGTGGTCCACTGATGGCCATTTAGATATTGTTGACCTACAGTTCCCAGTAGCCCTTGTCAGCCTAGCTAATGGTGAGCATAATAGCAATAGCCGTCCAGCAATATTTAAAAGGCTAGGAGTTGTCTGGCTTAGAGTAGTAAAGAGGAGAGATGATTAAATTGCTGTGAACAGGAGTGGCTCTACAAGAAGTCTGTAGAGGAAGGAAGTCAGATCATGGTTGCACTTGGAATGGATTAAAAACTGGATGCAAGATTTTTCCTTTACATTTTCCCTTAATGCTTATGGACAAAATCATTTTTAATGTCTTTGGTAAGAACACATGATCAAAATGACTGTTTTTTGCTTGGTAACAGAAATGGTTGGTTTATGTAGCATTCTACCTTATATGAGATGTCATATAAGATCAACCCTTAAAACTAAAGATATTTTGGTGCAAAATTCATATTGTCCTGCACTTTGACTTCATTTTTCTTGTTAAAAGTTTTTTTTAACTTTCTAACAAGTTTAATTTCAGTTTCCCCAGTTTCTCCCACAACCCTTTTCTGAACTCTATATTTTGTATTTTACTTGATGTACACTTGCTTTTACAGTTTGATTCTTTTCCAAACAGGGGAAAGGGGAGGAGAGGCACAATGGGCTGGCAGGTAAAGGAAAGGCAAAGGAAAAGGGAGAACAGGAAAGGAAAGGGAGTTAGGGGGTTGTTAATCAGCTTGTGCAGTATATTCCAGTTGTACAGTTGCAAAGGCAGTCCTGTGACACTCATCTTAGAATTTGGATATACAACCTAGCTGCCAAGATGCAGTTATTCTTGGTGGGCTTGTCTAAATGCTCTCCTTTCATTCCGTGAAGTGCTGGCTAATATGAAAGCAGGCCATTCTGGGGTTATGTTTGAATGATTTTAGTCAGCTTGATGTTCAGCCCATACAGGTTGCACGTAAAAGTGCAGGCGATCCTTGGAGGCTCAAGAGAAGAATGGAGTCCTTTGTGGCACATGCACCAGGATCTGTAATGTCCCTACAGGCCAAATGCTGCCTTCCGGAACACTTGGGTGACCACATTGTCTCCTCTGGCATAGCAGTGGTGAAGTTAAAGTATATAATGAGAAGATAATGGTACACAGGACAGATGGCCTGAAAATTAGAATGTGATTAACAATTCAATGTGTGGGCCTGAAAAGTATCCATTTCATTTGCTAAGTGATGATTACTGCAGCCAGTCCTGGGGAAACAAATATATACTTGTATCATTTTCCTAAGAGCAAGTCTGATTGTAAATGTACACAGAGAGCCTGTTGGTGGGCTGAACAAAGTTAATTTTTTCCCATTCTCCTCCTGTCAATGCAAAGTAGCATATTTATTTACCACATCCAGCCATGATTCTAGTGATTTTGCAAAGCTGTAGGGAATGTGTAGTGGTGCTGTTCACATACTTCATATTGATGTTATGATACACGAAGTAGCTTTTCTCCAACCAGATTCCCTCTGCCCCAGGTTTTTGGACCACAGGCCCCATTATCCCTGATGATTGGCCTTGCTGACAGAGACTGATGGGAGTTGTAGGCCACAACTTTTGGAGGGCATCATGTTAGGAAAGGCTATATGAAGAGTGCATGGCAGTTGCCCCATATTGGATCGTGTGTTTCCAGTGCTTGTATATGGGTCTCCTTAGGGGTCCCTGTGCTTTGGAGCTTAATGGGCACATTTGGAATTTTGAGAGTTACTAGTGCTCTTGAAAAATCGGGTGTGGAATGTGTGTGTTCTACATCCATAATAGGCACTTGATTCCCAGAAGTCAAACTGCAGAAACTAAAAGAACCTACATCAAAGGTAGAAATAGGGATCTGAGCATTGAAACAAAGAACCACCCTTCTGAACCCAAGTAAAGATGACACTGGTGTGTTGGAGGGAAACACTCTGTTTTAGAAACATAGAAACAGAGTGAGTCAGAAGGGGTCTCCCGGGCCATCTGGTCTGACCTCCGGCACCAGCCGGCTCTGCTCACTACATGCCCACCATGTGCACGTCCAGCCTATCCTTGAACACCCGCACCGATGGGGCCTCAACCACCTCTCGTGGAAGCCCATTCCACACCCTCGGGGTCCTGACTGTCAGGAAATGCTTCCTGGCATCCAAATGGAACCTTGGCTCCCTGAGCTTTGCTCTGTTGGAGCGCATCCTGCCTTCCTCTGCAGGGGAGAACAGGTCTCTACCTATCTCCATGTGACCTGTATGTCACCAACATATCCCCTCTGAGTCTCCTCTTCTCCAGG